TTCTGTGTGAGCCTCTTCAGCGTCAGCAGTGAGTTGTACGGCTGAACGACCACATCACTCATCTCATCCTGGTTTGGGAAAACAGAATAAGTCTGCACGAGCTTCTTTGGGTACCTGAAGATTGAAAGAAATTCGATTTTATTCAGACACACACACGAGATCACAAGAGAAAATTTAAGTAAACAAGCTGCATGTGTGTTTGTGGACCTGTCATTGAGTTTCTCCAGCAGATAGGATCCCAGCCCGGAGCCTGTCCCCCCAGCAATGGAATGACACAGGACGAATCCCTACAAAGACAAAAGGGTTACTCATTATGTGCAGTTCAGATTTACAGTTACAGCATGTGCCACGTGTGTGTGTAAAGTTAACTGTAAACTCCACTGATGCAGAAAGCTGAGTGTGTGTGTGTGTGTGCGTGCGTGTGTGTGTGTGTGTGTGTGGGTGAGCAAATGCCTCTCTTCCTCGGCAGTTATATAAATGGGAGCGCAGCCCCACCTCACAAATAGGCTCCCTCAACCCCCCAAGACAGCCTTGTAATACCTGCCTTCTACACTTGCCCGGCTATTATCACCAGACATTCTACACGCCACACCCTGCCAACATACACATGCTCATGGGCAGCCCGGCCCACCACCTTCCTATCCAATACACACATGAGTGCACACACTAAATAATAATGTGGGGTCATAATGTGAATGAGTTACAGAAATTGCAGACCTTAGAGGGGAAATATGAGTGTTATTTTATGGGAGGCTGGCAGCTGAAGAAAGTCCACCGAGAAAAAAAAAGAAAAAAAAAAAGAAAAGAAAGAAAGAAACTAAGAATAGTAGTGAGGCATGGCTAAGGCTGTACCGGCTTTAAGATGACAGGCAGTGGCACCTTTTTCACATGTCATTTCTATCAAGTTATTTATTTCCTCATGGTTTTTACCACAACAATGACAGAAGAGTTTACCTGAAAGACTAGAAAAGTCATGTGTGAATGCAATCAAGTATTCCTTGATCCTATTCAGACAATGGATGGATTACTGAACAGGCCTATTGGTCACAGGCACAGGGGCCCAAGGGTCAGCAGGTCATCTGAGCTTCTGAGTTTGAGAACACAAATGATGACGTAAAACTGACTGTAGAGACCACAAAACAACTACAAAGTGACAAAAAAAATAACTATAAAGTGATGCACATGATCACAAAGAAAATTACATGTCTGTTCCCAGGACATTAACTATATGCAAATACTTTGATACTTTCTTGAATGTTTGAGGTTCACCCTTCAGTAGCAAGTTGTTCTTGAGTGGGATAAGAGGGTCAGTGGACTACAATATGTAATATTTCTACACACACACTCTTTTTACTTTATTTCTGAATCAGTTTTGAAAATTCCACACTGCCACAGCCCCAGTCACCCCCAACTCCAGGAACAGGTGGTATGTGATAAATGCTGAACTTGCCTCCAGACTGTCACTGCCATCTGCCTCCCGGTCAATGATGTCAAAGATGTCTTCTTGGATTTTTTTGCCCTAAAGGGAAAACATTATAGATGCATCAAGTTTTTTATGTCTTTATTTATATAATAATGGTAAGACTTAAAGAAAGGAACATTTGATATCCTGTCATCACCTGTGAATATCCACTGGCCCAGTTGTTGCCAGCACCTCCTCCATGCTCAGAGAGGTAGATGTTCTCTGGGTTGTACAGGTTTGCATAAGGCGAGTTGAGGATGGAGTGGATCACCCTCGGCTCCAGGTCCAGGAGTACTGCACGGGGAATGTAGTGTTCATCATCAGCCTGTTGAGTTTTATAAACAACCAGGGGTTAGTTGGTGACACTGCACTGTTTGTAGGATGCTACCTTCTTGCATGGTCTGGGTTACTTCAGTTTACACTACAAGCCCGCCATCTAGTGGCAAACAACATTGTTACATCTCAGCTGCACACAAGCTTCAATGGACTGTACATACTGCACACTCACTGAGCACTTGTACACCTGCTTTTTCATGTAATTGTCTAATCCAGACAAAGTATGTAGCAGCAGTGTAGTGCATACAATCATTAGTTCATGTTCACAACAAACATCAGAATGGGGAAAAAATGTGATGTCAGTGACTTTGACCATGGCATGATTGTTGGTGCCAGACAAGCTGGTTTGAGTATTTCGGGAACTGCTGATCTCCTGCAATTTTCAAACAAAACTGTTTCTAGAGATTACTCAGAATGGTACCAAAGCCAAAAAAAACATCCAGAGACTTGAGCTGCAGCTCTGGGGACAGAAATTACTTGTTGATAAGAGGGGTAAGAGGAGAATAGTCGGACTGGTTGGAGCTGACAAAAAGGCCATGGTAACTCAGATAACAACAGCAGAAGACCATGTTTGGTTCCTCTCCTGTCAGCCAAGGACAGAAATTTGAGGCTGCAGTGGGCACACATTTCTGCTGAGGTACGCGGATGGCTGGTTCAGAATTTTCCATCAGAAGCATGAATCCATGGACCTAACCTGCCTTGTGTGAACAGTGCAGGCTGGTGGTGGTGGTATAATGGTGAGGGGAATGTTTCTTCTTGGCACACTTTCGGCCCCTTAGTACCAATCAATCCTCATTTGAATGCCCTGAGCATTGTTGATGACCATGTGCATCCCTTTATGGCTACAATTCACCATCTTCTAATGGCTGCTTCCAATACGATAATACAGCATGTCACAAAGTGAATGTTGTCTCAAACTGGTTTCATGTACCCGACAATTAGTTCAGTGTACTTCAGTGGCCTCCCCACTCACTAGATCTGAATACAATAGAACACCTTTAGGATGAGGTAGAGAATTAATGGGCAGCAGACAAATCTGCTGAATTTATGCAATGCAAGCATGTCAACATGAACCAGAATTTCAAAGAAATGTTTCCAACATGCCACGAAGAACTGAGGCTGTTTATGGATCGAAGGGAGACCCTTCCCAATGTTAGGGTGTTTCTGATACAGGTAGGTGAGTGTATACAGTACACGCAAAAAAGATACAATTCATAACTCATGACATTGAAGAAAATAAGGTGAGGCTGTAAATTCTTTCTCCAGTTACCTGATAGAAGAACACATCCTTCCTGTCGGTCCCTTCAGTTGCAAACTCCTCAACAATCCCCTCCGGACTGATGCCATGCTCTGCACACAGCTGCTTCCAAAACTCAAAACCGACTGAAAAACAGAGAAAGGAACAGGTTGGTATACTGTTATTAATTAGCCTTTAATGGCCTTACTGGTTTATTAAACAAACTGCTACAACAATTAGCATAACCTGCACCGGCAGCTAAAGTTAACATGCATTAGATAACATTTGCTGGGTAGCAAACACATTAGCTACAAGTCAGCTAGGTTATACTGGCGTTGTCGCTTGTTATGTTATATTTTGAGTTTAGCTAGACTTAATACTAGCACTTAACTAACGTCGTTACACAGCACTGAGCTTGACAGATCACCTTAGCTAGCTGACTTAGTTAAATGTTGGACACTGGCTAGAAGTAGGAGGATGCCAATTCAACATTAACTGCGTCTTTCACGTACTCTGATTTCCACATTGTCCCAGCTGAAGCGTTATGATTTCCCGCGGCATGTTCAGTCCTCAGTTGCTCCTTGTTTAGCTAGCCTGCTGACTGCTTGCTAGCTAAATAACACAAGAAAACAGACCGCTCCGCCAACAGAAGCAGCAGCCCGCTCCTTCCCGCTTGGTGCTGATGTGACGCTCCGAGGAAATGTCGTAAACCGATAGTAAATATGCACAACGCCCCCTACTGTGTAGGAGTGTGTAATGCAGACTAAACGATATTTTAAAAAGATGAGAGATGTTTCAATGCCTCGCCTCAACACTCGCTACTATCTAAACCCATTCCGTCTTATTGGTTTGTTGCCTATTTTTAAAGTTTTATTTTGAATGTATTCACCACTTGTTATTCTTTCTGCTGTGACTTTCGTGGAGTTGATGGGGTGTTTATTGCATCCAGAGGCCACAATGCGTTACTAAATGTTATTATTATTAGTAGATATATACCCACTTAGGGATATATAAAGGATTTTATCCTGTTTTACTTGAATGTTGTGACTATAACCAAATCTTTGTGACCATCCAGGATTTTTATATTATACTTATTCTAATAGAAATAAGCACTGATATATTATTCGATGCAATATGGGTAAATTACATGATCTGATGTGGTTAAACTGACCCAGTATCAGTGACAACCATAGACTGTATATAAAAAACAACAGAGGTTGAAATTCAACTGAAATGTAGTACAACAGACACTCCAGTTCTCCTGCTCTCACTGCTGCTGTAAGTACAAAAGTATCAGCTTCTTCCCACAGGCTGAGACTTCTCTGCTCCACTTCATCTTCCTCACACCATCATAAATGAATAGAAAAAGTTTTGTCACCTACCTCAGCTTTACATGCTATACACCTTACATACATTCCACTACAAATGTAGATACTGCATTTCAAATTTTGCATTCTTTCTGCACGCATATATATTTAATTATTGTTGTTGTAAAATTGTTCATCCCCTTTCCCCTTTTCCATCTCTTAATACTACTTCAACTGCTTCTTCATACAAATTCAAGACAGCAACGCAGTTTAGCTCCAACTTATGCAGGAGCCAGCAACCCCACTGTCATTTATTCAGAATTTGCATTTTCTAGTCGAAAGTGCATTTGTAATCAGGGCTCTGTTGCATTATTGGTCACAACTATTTGTCGGACTGATCGTGATTGACATCTCAGTGTTTATTTGTTTTTTCCAACTTTATATAGCTCTTACAAAGCCATACAAAACAAAAAAATTGGCACCATGAATTTATAAACCAATAGCTTGTAGGTAATCACAGTCCAGATGACTTCCTGATTTGTTAGTCCATGAAGCGCCTGAAAGTAAACAAAAGTAAAATATCCCTATTGCACCTGAACTCAGCATGGCACAGGGGCACGTGCGGATTTTGATTGGGCTGTTGGAAGTCTCAGAAAAACAGGTTACGCCATATTGTCCCTTTTCCGAGGAGAGTGCTACATTTCTGCAAAAATGACAAAATAGTAGGTGTCAGCTTATTTAAAAAACATTGCCCCAGTGGCTTTGATAACATGCTTACTTGCAACACAGTCAGGTGTTTATTATTAGACGGTAACTCGTTGATTCAGCTGGCGTGGCTAGCTGTTAGCTTAAATCCGTTAGCGCAGTCCTTTTAGCCGGTGTTGTGAGCGGAGCGGCTTTGTAACGCTGTGCTGCCCATCTTCACCCTCTTTACCTGGTTACACTTAAGTATTTATTTTACAGGCTTATTTTATCAACGGTAGAGGCTAAGATGGCGCACACTGGGGCAATGGAAGATGCATCCATGGAGGATTGCTCTACCAAACAGGGGTCTAGTGTCTGCCTGCGAAGTCGACCGTGCTCCAGCGAGAGAGACGGTCAGGTACGGGCTGTCAAAGCCGCTCTGCAGTCCAAGTTGGGGCCCTACGAGCCCGTCCTGACCTATCTACAGTCCGTCCTGGTGTGGCAGAGACCCTTTCAGTGTGTGCTTCTTTACTCTGTGGTCAACGTTGTGTTCTGGTGAGTTTCAGCTAAAATAAGGTAAACTTTGAGCATTTTGATGGCAGACATGTTCCGTTTCCTGACACCGTGTTATTGCAACCTACATTCAGACAATACAGAGACTGTTTGGTCGTTAGGCAAAAGGCAACGTGACTGAAAACAGCTGGTGCTTTTGCACAATGCGTATGTCTCACCTGTCAATTCAAGACAAGACAGATGGCTGGCTAGTGGCTCTATTTATAGACGTACTCTACAAACACTTCTATCCCAACTCAAATTTTGCTTCTAATTGAACTGGTGCCTGTATAATGCGCTGTACCTACTTCATTGTTGATGCTTGTGTGTAGGAGACTGGAAATTGAAACTAGATATGCAATTTACAGGTCTATATGTTGTCACTATAGAAGTAGATGTCAATTTTATGTTTATTTGTTCGTGGCTTTGTTACAGCAAATGTATAAGGCATCAAGTATAGAGCACATTTGAATAGCAGTCTATTTGTGTCTTTTATCATGTGTAATTACTATTTACTGTTACTAATTAACTAGTTATGGTAAAAGTAGCAGTATTAGAAGTAAAAGTCCCATATAATAAAATGTAAAAGTAAAAAAAAAAGTAGCAATAAAATTAAAAAGCGTTAAAAGTATAAATTATGCAACATGGCTCCATTCAGAGTGTTATATTATTAGAATATTGTTTCTGACACTTACTTTAATATTGTCAAAGTGCCAATACATTTTAACAACCTTTAGTACTGTTTGTAGTTTAATCTATATTGTATTTTATAATCTGATCATATGTTTACATGTAAATCTGAAAAGTAACTCGTACCTTGTGGCTGTAAAATAAATTTAGTGAAGTAAAAGTACAATATTTCCCTCTGTAATGGCGTACAAGTAAAAGAAGCATGAAATTAAAATACTCAAGTGAAGTACAAGTACCTCAAAAGTATTTAAGTACAATATTTGAGTAAATGCACGTAGTTACATTTCACCACTAGTAATTATATTCACTCAGCTGTAACATTAAGTCAGCTATAAGTTTAGAAAGTACTTAAACAAGGAAATTCTGTTTAACATCAATGTAAGAAATAAAACAGGAGGCAGAGTAGGTCTAGGGCAAGTTTTGGATAAATTAGGTGAGTTTTTAATGTTCTTTTATGATAAGAATCACTGACCTGGGTCACAGAAGAGGGAAAGCCAAGCTGGCCAGCCTCCTTGTGGCGCTCAGGCATTCAGCCTTTTATTCCATTAGACCACTGGGCATGTTAGGCCATTCATCCTGTCTGCCTTTTACTTGTGCTTAAGTATACGCTAAGGGGTGCAGACTAGTTTCTGCTCAAAGAGACTGATGATGGCAAATCACATGGAGATGGGGAGGCTATATGGGCAACTTTTTGGACAGTAGGCCATTGATATTGTCCTTATTTATTTATTTATTTATTTACTCTTAAAGCACGATACCATTTAATCCAATACCATCACAGTGATTTTGTATAGTTTTGTAGTACAAGTGTTCATATTGTTGTATGTACAGGGGTAATTCCACATAGACGTTTGTGTTTTTCTTTTTTGACTAACTGTCGCCACTAATTGCACTGCTACCCCAAATACTATTACATCTCATACTGCCAACAAATTCTTTGTTAGGTTAATCTGTAACTGCTGATTGGCAGAATCCTTTAACATTGTATTGGTCAACAAATTTTTGAAGTCTTGTGATCAGAAACTGGAGTAACACTCAGGGATGTTTGTTGAGAACCCAGGCAGTGAAATCCAGTTGTGTGAAAATGGATGACACCTGAAACAACACAAGTGATATCACAATTTGGATGTAGAGAAAAGAAAATGCAAACATTCTTGTCCAGTTTCATTACCATCTTTCTTGGTTAATTTATAGTGAGTTTTAATGTGTGTAGCACACATCAGAGGGTGGAATAAGTTCATCTTTCTTAGTTCTAACTAAAGGAAACAGTAGATGATCACTCGAGGGTTTTGTAGTTTCATGAAGTTTCATGAATGCACTAAGTTGTTGAATTATATAACTTATTCATTGTTTACTCCTGGGGTAACAGGCATGGGATGTACTGTCTGTTCATGTGTTTTATTCCCCTCCAGGTTCTTTGCTCTGACTTCACTGCGCCTGCTGTTTCTGCTAGCTTCTGGTCTGGCTGTGGTTGTCTGTGTTGATACCTGGAGAAACAAAATCTGGCCAGAAATTAGAGGTGCTACAAGTTCCGTCAATGGGGGTCTTTATGTTTCTCAGTCTGACATGTTCTGTTTTTTTCCTTTACTTTACCCCTGGAGTGCCTTAGGGTTCTTGTGTTAATTATACCTTAGATCATTCCCCAGTTTTATGTGATTGCAACAAATGTACTTCTGTTATCAGAATAGATATGCCATCAGTCAGCAGCCCTGCACCATGACTTTGCAAGTGATTTGTATTTACACATGGAACAGTTAATCTCCCATACCTATTTTTGAACTTGAATTATGTACTGAGTGCACCAAGTCCTGAGGAGACTGTAGATGAAAGAGAACCCAAGCTAACGTGCATAACATGTTCAAGCTACTTTTTCTATACTGTGCACTGTTTCTATTAATATATAATGTACACTGTAGTATGTAATGTTTCTTAAAGTGATAGATGTTCTCTCTCTCTCCACAGTCAGAAACCTGGATGAATCAGAAAATGAGAGGTTTGTTACTTTAGCCACAGTTTTGTGTTGACTATGACAACCAGCCAGTGCTCTGACAGCATTATTGATATAATAAAATGGTGGATGAAAGCGTTATTGTCTGTTTGTCTAGCTGGGGTCTGGTGCAGCCCGGCATCCTCAGTGTGCCTGAACTGTGCCACCATATCGCTGAGGCCTGGGTCAGTGGAACAGTTCTCACATCCAGTATGATGCAGTACAAACGACAAAACCCTGGAAAGGTGAGGACCATACATACAAAAAAAGGATATTCAGAAAACCTCATTCAAAATATATCACAGAATGGCAACTCACCTTTTAAAATATGTATTTAATGTCCCTTTTCCCTTTTCTGATTGCCTGTGGTTATAATTGTCATTACACAATTCTGCCAATCAATAATCCATCGGGTTTCACCAGTAAACAATGGATAGATGCACCATAGTCAACATGTATTATTGGTGCTGACTTCATTCCCTGTGTGTTTTGTTGCTCTGTCAGTTTTGCATCCTGACCTGTGGAGTGTTCACCTGTTTGGCTGTGGTTGGGCGCTACATTCCTGGATTGGTGCTCTCCTACTCTGCTGGTGAGTCCCAGCAGTTTCACCAGCCCTAACTACATGTGCATTCCACTTCACAAAACCACAGTGACAGGGAAACTCAGCCTGACTGGTTCTATTAAAAATGCATGGGTGGTGAAACCAGATATATGGTGCCCCAATACCAGGGCCTAGCTTGTGAGGTGATTAAAGCCAGGATGAGACACACGGGGCAGGAGTGAAGGAGGGAATGGAGCCAGGTAGAAAGCTAAGGAGGTCAGGCTGAGACTGGGCTAATCTCCTAACCTCCAACCAGCGTAGGCTGCAGAGCTGGGAAGGCAAGACCTGCCAAGGCCCTCTGCTCTGACGTCTAAAACAATCCACAGCAGCTTGTACTTGTACATGTTAACTCCCTGCTGCTCCCTCTGTTTCACTTTGTATCTATACTGAAGCTGACACAGCCTTGTGAGAGTCTATCTACAGTGAGCAGACTACTAGATACTGAATCTATACTGAATGTTTTTCTTATCACATACATTAAACACAACAGAATGACCTCTTCATGCACAATGACTAGTATTTTTTGCCTTTGTCTCAGTGTTAGCAACTCTCCTGGCCCCTCTGGCAGCCTATCACAGGCTCTTTCAGCATGTTTGCGTGAAGTTGGAGCCGGTCCTGCAGCGGCTGGACTTCAGCGTTCGTGGATACATGATGTCAAATCCTATTGATAATCAGTGTAAGTAGTACATCAAATTCTATTCTTTCTGCATCTAACACTAGAAATTAAATTAAAAAGACACAACCTTAAAAAAATAAGTGTATCATTAAGATTACCATCACATGAATTAAATGGTGACTAACAGTGTTACTCTCTAAGGGTCAACATTAGCACATTAAGATGGTGCTTGTTTCACCACTTTTAATGTGATCACATCAGGCTTCTAATTTTCATCCAGCAATCACCAGTTTTGACCAGTTTTTTTCCCTTCTCCATCTTAATATGACTTTCTTAACTGAGTAGTAATTCTTTGTTGTCTGTATGCTTGTCGTTCTGCTCTGCAGTCTTGCGGAAGTCTATCCGTGGAGCATCCTCAGATGACGCCAGTGACAGCGAGGAGGAATTGGCCGCTTTCTGTCCAACAGTAAGTCTGTTTAAAGTCTTGCAGTGTTTTAATTAATCTGTCAAAAACCTGGTTTTCACCGATGTTCTTGAACGTGGTCCTCCTATTTCCTGCACTATTAATAAAATTAACCTGTAGTTGAGCCTGGCTTACATTGCTTTTATATTTCATAATGTAAGATCTAAAATTTGTGGGTTTGTTTTCATTGAGAATGGGGAAAAAAAAATCAATGTCTGTGAAAGGTTTTTCCTCACATTGTGCTCTCACATAGTTGTGTTAACATGCTGCACTTTTGGCTCCCTAGATCTAATGTTTACTTTCCCTTAACATGAACATTTGTTCAGTGTGCACGGTGCACCTCATGATGTGAGAGTGTAGAGACATGTCTTAGCTTTCCTACTCAGAATGCTATGAGGGTTAATGCCTCTGTTCTTTTTATGGAGTGTGAACACCTGTGCCACATTGTTTATTCTGTGAGAAAATTGGTTGTTGGGAACTTACGGAAAGGTGTAAAATACACAGATAAATCATTCACTACATACCTATAGCTTTGTACTTGATGTTATTTACAGTAGCACATCTTACCTACTTCCTGTTGAGGTTAGGAACTTCGCATGAGCAAACAGTGTGAAAATAACAGTGGAATGCAGCATTTGCAAACCTTTTTATGGCAGAGCAATAGAGTAAAAGTTTTTCCCTGCATTCTGACTGACAAAAAAAAAAAAAAAAACAGCACACAACCTAAAAATATTTAACCTTTCATGTCTGTTGTCTCTCATAGTTTGATGATGCTGTTGTTGCGAAGGAACTTGCATTGACAGACTCTGAGCACTCTGATGCTGAGGTGTCCTACACTGACAATGGAACATTTAACCTGTCACGTGGCCAGACCCCACTCACAGAGGGCTCTGAGGGTAAGTATGGAGGTATTTTCTTGTTCTTTTTTTTTTTTTTTTGGTTTGTTCTTGTCTCTGATCTTGTTCCTGTCTGTGTTTTGGACAGATCTTGACAGACACAGTGATGCTGAGGAATCCTTTGCTCAAGACCTCCCAGACTTCCCCTCCATAAACCCTGATGCCACCCTGATGGATGATGATGACGACACAAGCATCGGGCTACCTAGTTTGGGTCCATCTGGGCTAGCTGGTCACCGGGCTTCAGTGCTGGATGTGGATGCTCATCTGGATTCCGACCAGGAGGATCTGGATGCAGAACTTTCTCTCAGTGGCCTGCCACCTGCCTCTGATTTCACTGGCGACTTGGCCGGAGTCATTGCCAGCAACATGATCCAGGCGGCGTTGGCTGGGGCATTGCAGCCTCGGCCTCCTGTTACCCACCGCAGAGAGGGCCCACCCAAGGCCAGAACCCACCGAAGCTACCGCAAACAGTCCAGCTCCGAGTTGGACACAGACTTGGATGGAGAGGACTTTGAAATGCTGGATCAGTCTGAACTGAACCAGATGGATCCCCTCGGAGGAGGAGGAGGTCCTAGAAGGGGGGAGAGTCAGGGGTCTAACTTCTTATCTAGCCTTCTGGGTAAACCACAGTAAGGTGTGTGTGTGTGTGTGTGTGTGTGTGTGCGTGTGTGTGTGTGTGTGTGTGTGTGTGTGCGTGCGTGTGTATGTGTGTATGTATGTATGTGTGTGTGTGTGTACGGGTATGTGTACGGGTGGATGAGCTGTGAATGTGTGATGTGAAAGATGATTTTAGGTTCCAGCAGCCCTGCTTCTGATTGGCATCAGTTTATCACTGTGAAGTATTTTATTTTTTCTATCTTTTCAAACCCTTTCTCCCTTACTTATAAACCCAGAGCATCCACAATACGTTTTACTTTGTAGGCTGAGCAATAGGAAAATGCAGCAACAAAAATAAAAAGCATTCAGACATGAAATAAACCAGCATTATTGAGCCTTGTTGCAGTCTTGTAACTTCATGCACCCATCAGTTATAAGGGTACTTGTTAGTGACTATAAATGAAAAACAACAGTGCCCATAAAATCTTTTCTACTAGGAGGTCTAGACATACAGGGCTATTTAACATGGGACCAAATATGACATTCCTGTCGTTTGAGCTGAGCCATGTTGCTTTGATAATACCATTATGGAAAAGCATTTCATGTTTTACACTTCCTTACTGAGTGGAATGGTGGAAATGGATAAATCAGCCCCCACTTTCCATCACACTTTGTTAAAGAAACAGCAGTTTGTGTTGCTGTTGATGTAAATGTCCTCTGCTGTCACACGTGGCTATAATCTGTTAGAAGATGATTTATCTGAAGTTACAGGTGAATTTACATTCTTGTCAGCAGTTGAGAATTTGGACAGCGATTTTCTTCCATCATGAAGATGAATTATATTTGGATAACAGTTTCAGCTACTTTTCTGTATGATTTTCTTTACTTTCTTCCTTTCCTGCTGACTAACATATGAAAGATGTATTCATACATTATTAGGAGCTTATTTTATTTTCTTGAAAGAATGTCACATTACAGTCTTAAGATGTATGACCCAGATGAGCATTTGATGTTGTCTCTTCATTGTATTTATGAACTTGTGCCCAAGGGTGAGATGCGTTTTTTTTCCTGAATAGGTTGAGAATATTTTTCATTTTCCTGCCCTTTAATACAGCTCAATAACATATTGTGTCCATGTTTAATACCTTGAATGAGCCCTCAGCTTTGTGTGTATTTTTTCTCAGAAATAGTATTTAAAAAGTCTTTTATCTTTTATCATCTTTGTATTTCATGTAATTGACAGTCATGCTGAACATTTTAAGAGAAAAATCAGTTCATGGATCTTTCACTATTTTCATGGGGAAAATGTTTACATCAAAATTGGTTATAAAAAATTGTCCTTATGTCCTTTTTTTTTTTAAAAGTGTTAATGGCTTTGTGTGCTGGTCAGCCTGATTTCCTCTTGATGGACACACCATGTCAGTATGTCATAATTTTGCAGTGGAAATGGCACTTCAAACGTAAATAAGCCACAGTTGAGATTTATTGAAATCATATATCAAAGAGTCTAAAAATGCTGGGTTTTAAATAGAGGAAAACACATTGCTTGCTTTCATTGTGTTACTTTGAGAAGAAAATCATAGCTGCAAGAGATTTAGCACAATAGAAAAATACAGCTGGATCCAGACTTATGGAGGTGAAAGGAAAATTGTGCACTTAAAGGAAAATGCTGGGATTTTGAGGCTGAAGAAGAAAAGGAGGAGTTTGTTTTAACCACCTCAGTTAACTAGAAAGTTGCTCATTGCTGCTCCATGAAGAGTCAGTTCCTCAGTATGAGTGATCTGTAGTCAGTTTGATAATGTAATGTGCATAGAAGTGTATTTTCTTCTCTGTAACTGGTTTTGATATGTTTTGATGTGCAAATCGTATTGAATAAAATGTTTGCCATTACGTCTGTCTTGGGTGAAATGTGTACTGTGATCTCAGATGACAGATGAAGCTCTTTAGATCATTCCAAAGGGTCTGATTTAAAATCACAAAATCTTTGCATTAAGGCTCTGAAACTTTGGGACAACTTCACTGCAATAATTATTCACAGCACAATTTAGTTTTACTTTTGGCCCCAGTTCTGTCTTGGATGAATCACAGCAGTGGACTTTGAGCCTACTGAGCAAATTTAATGGAATAACTCAAGCACACAGTGGGTATCATTGGCCCAAATCCCTTCTTTTGAGAATAAAAAAAATCTGTTGTAATGGGTAATTCATAATCATAATGGCACACAGACCCATGTGGTTCCCACACACAAGACCATCTCTAATATCTGTCTTTTTCTCCTCCCTAAGCAACAGTATCAACAAGTGTTTTTTTTGTTTGTTTGCAGATGATATTTGTTTATATTTTATTTCGAACACGATAACCATGTATGTTTGCCATATTTTCTAATTATTTATAAATATCATAATATGTAAATATTTTAGGCAACGACCCTAAATTGACTGGCTCTGAGAGCAGCCAAAATGACAACGCTATCACACGGCTCTTCTCCCCGGATATCGTAAACCTCATGACAAAGTAGGACTGAGCCAAAATTAAAAACAAATACAAATTATTTGGTGCAAATCAAGATTGCTCAAGAGCGCTGATAATATTTATCGGCAAAACAGTAACCTTTAATTTATATATTTGAGACTCAATGTACGGAGAGTTTTCCAGCAATAGTTTTCCAGAAGAATGAGTTCAACTTGTGTGATGCATCTTAGCACATAAACGATCTTTTTAGTGACGTATATTTCGCGCGAAACTCCGTTTGGAAAAGCTAAGTGAAAGTGGACTGATCAGAAATGAGTAAAAAAGACAACGGTAAGTCGAGAGTTAGCATTATGTGAGGACTATAGACAGGTAGCTGGCGTGTCTGACACTCGTGTCGAGCGAACGGTGTCTGTTAGATGTCACGTACAATACGTTTGAAGTCTTAGCTAAGAAGCTATCGGCTAACGTTAGCTATATAGCCTGGTATAATAAGCTAACAGGGCTGAGGGCACTATAAATGATTTGTGATGTTACTGCAAATATGCCCACTTTAACACGACACCTTTATTTTAAAAATCAGACTCTAAAATATATCTATGCATTATGTAGAAGATAACTTTATCGTTCATTAGAGAGGGAATTGTCTTGGAAAAATTCAAAACAAAGACGATATACACTCAGATTATTAGGTACACTTAGTGAGAACTAATGCAGCCTAAAACAGCAGTCCTTCAATAAATTGTCGTTCATGAAGGTTATAATGTTCAGTTTTTGAAAGGTGTTGATTCAGCTTTGTTGGCATTTCAGAGGCTGCACTTTGTGGCGCTGTTGAATTATACTATGTTAATCTGATAGGCGTTTCTATTATTTTGTCTACACTACTTAAATCAATCAGGGTAGGCTGAGTAACAGAATCGGTTGAATCAACACCTCTAAAGCAGTTTTAACAAAAACTGAACTCATGAGTTTTAGCTCGTGTGTTCCTAATAAACTGCCAACGAAGTGTATGACATACATTATAATGACAGACAATTATGAAAGGAACTTGTAAAAAGAGCATAGAAGTCTAGTTGTGATACCTAGCCATATTTCAAGTGTATTAAGTGTAATGCAGTAGTACATCTAAGTACAGTTTGTGAATGTGTGTGTTTGCTCATATGATCAGATTGTCCTGTTGTCCTCCACAGGTGCGTCACTCATCCTTGCCTATTTGAATGAGAAGAATCGGCCCTACAGTGCACAGGATGTCTTTTGCAATTTACAAAAGCAGCATGGATTGGGCAAAACTGTAAGTTTAACACTTAATCCATTACATGCAATCGGGTATGTAGCTTAAAATGAATGAATGAATAATTGTATATTTGTGATTCACCAGGCAGTTGTCAAAGCCATGGAGCTGCTGGCTCTAGAGGGCAAGATAAAGGAGAAAACATATGGCAAGCAAAAGATTTATTTTGCAGATCAGGTTAGTATGTTCATGTGAAATACTGTGTTGTGGACATGTGGCGCTGAAAGTAACATATGCACAAACTGTTGTTTATGATAATCTTGTATGTTTCAGTTGAAACTGACTACTGACTGACTGCTTACACTTCCTACAGGCTCAGTTCAAAGATGTAAATGATGCAGACTTGAAGGCAATGGACTGTCAGATCTCAGAGCTCATTGCAGAGGCGCAGTCCCTCACACAGAGCTGCAGACAGCTGGATGCAGGTGGAGTACGCTGTCGATTTCTGCAATTTGATGTCTTGAGACAGAGCATTGTTTGTTTCCTTAGAGCCTAGTTGGTACTTATAGCATTTAGCATTTTGCACTGTTTAAGTCCACAGTATGTTGCTGTTTGATACACAAGTACAGTAAATGTTTTTGTCGAATTTCCAACATTTCTTACAAAGGAGATGTTGTGTAACCCTGTGTGAAATCTATGATTACAGAGCTGAAGGAACTCAACAGCTCCCTGACAACAGAGGAAATGATGTCAGAGATCCGAGAACTGAAAGCAGAGTGTTCTGAGTACAGAGCGCGTCTGGAGAAGATAAAGTCTGCCACAAATCATGTCACACCTGAAGAGAAAGAGAAGGTGTGGAGTGTATTTATGTTTTCCAGTGACAGCACACAATCTTAGAAACCTGGTGAAGATACTGCTGACATTTTTTCCACCATTTACTGTACAGTTGACTCATATTTTAATTTACAGGTCTACAAAGAGCGGACTGTTTACGTGAAAGAGTGGAAAAAGAGGAAGAGATTGGTATATATGTATATGCATACAGACATGCAACAAGTAGTTGATGAATAGATTCAAGAAAATGTGTTTTATATATATATATATATATATATATTATATTTTGATCAGTAGTTTCATAGTAATTTCAAGACATAAGTTGTTGCCACTAAAGCCTTAAACTTCATCGTGTGTTGTTTCTCTCAGGCTTCAGACATGATAAATGCAATCCTGGAGGGGTATCCCAAGAGCAAAAAGGAGTTCCTGGTGAGTGAAAGCAGCTCATGAAATTCACTTCCCAAAACTTTACGACACCTATGCATGTTTTGCTTGGGTGACAGTTTTTTGTTCACAGTACAAATGAATAACATATCTGGTGCTGCCCTTACAGGATGAAGTTGGAGTCGAAACTGATGAGGACTGTAAAGTGGTTGTTCCAAGTAACTGAAAGAACAAGAAAAACGCTTGTTCAGCTGCTTGAGTGATGTAAGTCCCTGCAGTGCTCTGCTAAGGAGATAGATTACTCATCAGAGCAGTCTGAGTCATTGCACATTACTTTATTTATAGCTTTTCTTTTGGACAAACAGTACACCTTAAATAAAAGTTGAATGGAGAAACAACTTTTGTAATTTAAAGTATATTTGTACAAAAATAGCTCTGTCATTTTGGAGACACTTACACTACATCAACTCATGGGCAACATCATTTTATTTTTCCCTTTTTCAGGCCATAAAACCAGTCCTGAGCCTACAATGAAAGTGTCAACAAATTATTTATTTTAGCTTTGACAGGTTTACATTCTTTGTTGTTCTTATTACATGTCTAAGTCCAGTTTGCTGCCATGTTTTTTGAAAACTAAAAAAAAAAGAAACACTTGCAGTGTATAAAGCATGGGCAGTCATTCATGACCGTCAGGTATTATGGTTGTCCCATTTTTTGTTAATCAGCCTTTGTACTGTTTATTGAAATTGTGGCCAAGCTATTAAATTTTCATGACAGCAACTTCTGCTTAAGGTCAAACTGAATTTCTGCAACACAATTTTTATTAATAATTGTTTTTTATTAGTGTATAATCATCTGAAACTAAGTAAAGTTGTGTTTTTTTTTTCAGCTCAGAATGAGCCCTTCATATCTATTTGGGGAGTGGGTCCTCTTCCATGGAGCCTGCCATATTTTACTATAGCCCATAAAAACAAAACAAAACACTGATTCTAGAGAGGGCCTTTTGCGTTTCTATGTTACTTGAAGGCCACCGTAGTTTATCCTACACACTTGGGGGGGGGGTATTCAGTTGGTTGCAATTTGCAACCAAAGCGCTAGGTGTCACTAAATCCTACACACTGGTCCTTTAACACTTGAATTCATTCTTTGGATATTATTATTATTAGCTACAAATGTAAAACCTAATGCAAAGCAATCCAGTGGCTCAGCCATAAATTCCCCCATCACAAAGAAAACATCACTGCAAACTACAAGCTCAATGTTGGGTCTCTGTGAATAATTTAGATGAAGAATTTATGTTATGATTTGGGATTTGGTGCTATATAAATAAAACTGACTTGACATTATTTTTGGTAAGGCACAATTCATGGCTAATCTGATTGGATTGTATTAGATTTTAAAGGTATACCTAATAAAGTCACCATTGAGTTAAATGGCTTTTGTAAAACTATCAAAAGAAAATAGTTTAATCAAAAAGAAAAGAGGGTCAAAAATCAGTGTTTCCCTTTGATTGAGGCAACTCTATTGAGCCAAAACCCAAGAAAATTAGCTTTATGTCATCTATTTAATTCAGTACAGATTAGGTGAAAATCTGTGTACAACTCTGTTCAGAATCTCTCTAGGAACCTGACTGGTGTAGAGTACAGTCCTAAACAGTCAGAACATTTTCACCATGGTGATACAGAGTATCAGACCTTTTCTAATGAACAATTACTGATCACAAAAGCCTCTGACAACCAAAGCAAATAGCATTTATCATGTTGGCATTAAAACCACTTAAGGTCCAAGTGATGAGATTTTAAGTCACTTGACATGAGAAGAAAACTGCAATCTGACAATTTATCAAAATCAATCACTCTTTATATTTAACATCTTCCAAATAAACACAACATGTATTACTGCAAATGAATCACTGCCTTTATATAAACAGAATCTCTTTTCACAATGTGCGGGTGTAGCTCAATTACTGTCAAAGTCAATAAACTGTATATAAACATAGATTCATACATTTTCCACCTGTATGCCGCCTACGTTGCAGACCTGTCACCCATGAGATTTCAGCATTTTTGTTGGCTCGTCACCGTTGCATTAATAAACACCTCAGTTTGTTTGACTAAAGCTTAAATAGTTGGTGATAAAATGCACACCCCCCCCCCAGAGTGTGCTTGTGATAGCACAGTTAGAATATGTGACAGTTACCCTGCAGTAGAGTAGGAGTGGAGTATTTTCCAATGTCTGCAATGGTTCAGGTCAGGAGTGGTATGGCTGACTCACAAGTGGTGCGCGCTCAAGCTGAGAGGAGCCCTTTGGTTCAGCATTAAGCTACAAAATGCTTGATGTGACAGAGGGGAAGGTGTGGGCTCATGAGTTTCACCCTTCCCTCTATTTCCCATTTGTTAGATTAAGAGGTTACAGAAGCAATACCAAACATTTACTTAATCTGTGATGAGAGTCTTGCAGATGAAACCTCCCACTGGCAGTGCCAGCTACTGCAGACACTAATGCAGGGTGCTGTTTTGCCTGCCCAATGCATTTAACATACACATTCATTTGCAAACTATTATTTTAAATTCTAAATTGTTGCATTTCCCCTGCATTTCTTAGCAGAATAATAGAATGAAATATGAACAATCAGCAGAGGCTGAAATATACATAGATATCAATGTATGTACACTTGCAATCAGAAAGAGATCAAAAAGTGATCTCTTAAACATAAAACTGCTCAATCCAATGCAATCAATGCAATTAATCTCTGCCCATACTGTGGGTTGAGGTAATCCAATTGCAGCCAGGGAGTCATGGATGAGCTGAAGTGAGTGTAAATACTGTGATTTGGCCTGAGGCTGATAAAAGTTTTTTACTCCAGCCTGAGAGGCCAGAGCAAGCCCAAAGTCTGGGACTTCAGTCCAGAGGTTTCACTCGATCAATAAAGCTGACCGCTGAGCTGCCGGAGCACTCCAACGACAAACTCCCTCAGCGTCTAGGAAAGAAGAGAAGAAGCATATAAACTAGAATTATCTCAACATTAAACAAAGCAATGTTTATGATTATTACTGTAACTGATCTGCTGTAAAATTACTCCTCACCTGTGGTTTGCAGTGCTCCTCAATCCAGCTAAAAACACAGGCAGAGAGGTCTTGGAAGCTGTTCACTGACACAGAAGTGCTGAAAGACTGGAACAGGGAGTCCATGATGCTCTGAAAGATGTTGAACTTGACCTGGTCAGACACCTGATCTCCCTGCTGTGGGTTGTCCTGGTGGGCCTTCACTATGTGCTCATAGTTCCTATTAAAAAAGACACTCATTGTTGACTGGCATCACAAAATGTATAACTCAATTAATGGCCATGACTGTTAAATAAAGAGGATTAATTCTTTCCATACACTAGATGGATTGATTTTCCGCCACAGCAAGTGTAACAGAGTCGCAACAAAAATCCTGCCGCAGCATTTAAAGCCTTTAGTCAAGGATATTTCCTTCCGTTGTTTAGATCTGATAGTAACTTAACGCTGTGTAAGGGCTGCTATCGAAGCATTTCTAACTCAAGAGTTTTCTCTTTTTGTCCATGATCAGCATTTCTTTTAAAATCCATCTTTTCATCTGTCTCTGGATGCAGAACATTCATGACTTTGGAATGCAAATGAGGCAAATATCTTTTCAGGATTTCACAAAGTTTGTGAGCCACATTCTTACGTTTTCATGATCTTCAATGCCATCACTTCTTTCCTTAGTACAGAAACTTCCTCCTCTTGCTTCTTCTTTTCTTTATGAAGAAAATGGATGTAGTCAATTGCTGAAAAAACAAAATACAGAAATGCATCAGTCAGGGATTTCTTCACTGCACAAAGACAGAAGAACTTTTTGACAAGTTTCCATCTTCCTAGGGGTGTTGTCCCTCCAAAAACATTTGCCAAATATTGAAAGTTTGCCATTTCCTCTTTTTCCTCTTTTAAAGAAACCCCAGCAAGTGTAGACATCCTCTGTGCTGTGGGATATTTGTCTCCAACATATTTCTATTGAATCTGGGTGTTCTGAACATATGCTAATTTATATCTATGTATGCCCTGTGTTCTTTTCCATTTTTGCTTGTTTGTGCAGTGTGAGTTTGGGAGACACTATCTGTAATTGGGGGATATAAGCAGTATGCTTGCAGAATTGAATCATGTGATGTGTGTTTTTGTGGCAGGTTGAAAAACTACTTAATAATAATAATGCCAATCTTTTCCAAGCACTTCCATCAGCTCCATGGGTGACCAATAAGTGTTAATCCAATAAGCCAACATCACAACTTACTTTTCTGCAGAATAGTAGCCTTGCTGATCTTCTGCGCTCCCACTGCAAATTCAGACTGCTGCTGGCAGGTTGGCACTATTGCCTGGAGGTCATCATAGCCTTTCTAAAGTTAAAAATAAGAAAGTCATTAATAACTACTGAAAAAAAAATCTAAAAATGCCCAACTCAAACTTTTCAAAGTGTGTGGTTCATCTGTGGTAAGTCACAGAGACCTATTGTGATCTACTGCAACCTTACCTTGATAGCATCTCTACGCTTCTGCTCAGCCTGTGTGTGTGCTTGTCTCCGTCGATCTTTATACTCGTCTTTATATGATGTCTCACGCCTGTAGTCACTGTCTTCATCATCTATCCAAGAATATAATGCTTCAATCAAGTCATATTGATTCCTGTAATGCACTTTCAACCGGCCTACACAAAACATTTATCTACAGACAGCAACTGATATAAAACTAGTTGGTGAACAAGCAAAAATACTTGCAAAGAGGGAGGAGCACTTTGACAGTTATGCAGCACAGACTTCATAACTCCATAAAACATAAAACCCTGTTGACAGAATCTGAATAAAGGCTGTAAAAACAACACTTTTGCAATCCAGTTCATGAAACACAATTATGCAGTATATAGCTCTCTAACTGTTTTTAAAGTTTTTCTGCTATCATTATATCGTTTATATTCTATTAGCGTGTCTATGTGCCCTATCATGCTTTAATACATCTGACCAAGTCCAATAAAACCTGCAATGAGCAGCAGAACAGGTTTTTCCTTTCATAAGTAGCAGGAAGCAAAATGAACCAAAGCAGGTTCTATGGTCATTTTACAGTGACTGAAAGTGACATAAAAATGATCTAATGATAATTTTTTTCAGGAATTAAATTTTAAAATGTACAACAGGATTCAGACTACAAGTACATGGATTTCAGGGAAATCATTCAGTGTGAGGTGTAGTCAAGCATCACAATCTAAATTTAGAACATATTCTCTTTTAAAATTGTCAAAAATGTCAGATAATCTTCGTTACAACCACAATACCTGTGTTTGGTACTGAAGAGGCACTTGTCGAACCGATGCTGTTGGCCCTAGACACGACGGTACCCTTTCTGGCAGTTTCAGCAAAGAAACCTACAGAGAAGCAGACATCAAAAATCTTTCACTGCAAGACCAGAAATAGATTGACATACCAATTTCAGCGACCAGAAACACAAGGTCACCATCGCATAGTCTAAATATCAAATAAAATGACAAACAATGGGATATGAAATGACTCAATACTCACTATGGTCAAAGCCACTGTCGCTGAAAGCACCGTCTGTCTGCCGTGCCATCACCAGACAACAGAAGGTGGAAAAAGGAAAAAATAGAGACTGAGAAGCTGGAATAGCAAGGGCAAAAATTGTGCTGCCCCAAATACATTGACAATAGACCAATAACTAGCAGGCCCAATACATTGCCTAAACCCCCACTGAGCATTGCCCTGATTTGTCCGTTTTGTAGAGGGTAAAGAGCTGGACTAAATTACTACTTCAATCACAGATCCACCGTTTGATCTAGGGCACCACAACACAATAGTTAATTCAATTTGTGGTTCCTAAAGTTGGGCCCAGTTTTCCCTAAAGCTTCCAATGGGCAAAACCCTGAAAAATGAATTTTCAATTTCAACATTAAGTCCTGCTTTGTGTTAACAGTATTTATCCAACTACAATTAAAAAACATTAATAGAGGATGCCTGAATAAAACCTGTAACAAATGTTACCCTCTAAAAAAATGTGTGTTGACAGCTTTATTGATTATTTTTCATCACATATCACAGACGTGTACATTTACATGACCACAGCTAAATGTGAGTCAACTGCTTTTCCATATCTACTGCTAGATCATAATCAGATACGACAGAGATAATGATTATATACCGTCTTGTTGAAAGCTTTAGTAAACAAGTTCTAACAAGGCAAAACGGACCAAATTATTTCCTAATCACAAATGTACAGTTTTATGAACCCACAAGTTGAATTTGGTGCGGCTGGAAACAACACTGACTTTACACCGATCAGCCATAACATTAAAACAGGTGACTGGTTTTAATGTTGTGACAGATTTTTTTCAAGGCATTAAGCCGTGGAAAAAAATAAAATAACTGAAACTACAAATTAAGGTTTAAATCAAATTATTAATGGTTCAGAATGACCTCTTAAAACATGCCACGCATATACACTAATCAGCCTCAACAATAAAAGCAGTTGCCTGTTTTAATGTTGTGGCTGTAGGGTGTATAAGCTAACAACTGTACATATTTGCAACTTTCTGACTCCTCAATAAATCTGCACTTCACTTACACATGGACTTTTAAAAAGAAGCATGCAAACAGAAAGTACAATTTCGCCCGTGTGTGCAGTGTGCAGATGTATTTTCTAAACAAATGAATTGTACATGAAGAACACGAGTTACCCCTTCATGACGCTTTGTTTACTTAACTAGCTAGCTAACCACTTTGGAGCATGCTAACGTTAGCTGTGGTGCTAACAAAGCCCCGTTCCTCTACAACGTTAGCAAAACGTCAACTTTCAGACAAAACAAAGTTCGTCATTTATCACTGCTGTCAGACAGCAGACGTGCGAATAAACTTAACAAAAAAGTTGAGGTTAGCTAACATTAGTTACTTACTTTCCAGTGGTTTTCTGGGGACGTTGACGGGTCCGTCATTTTGGAATGCAATACAACTAACAGCCCTGCTGCCTTCGCGTCCGTCTAGTAAATTCCAATTTTATCACTCTTCAAAAACTTTCGGAAAACTGAACTCCTGTCAAATAGTCCGTGTTGGAAGAACAATTGGCATCATTAACTTAAGTAAAAGTACCAATACAACTAGGGCTGAAACTAACAATTAGCTTCTATATTGATTAATCTGTCGTTTTTCTCAATTAATCGACTGTTAGTTTCTGTCTATATACAGGTTAAAAACACTCAAGATGACAAGGTCTAAAGATTGCTTGATTCAGTCCAAAGCTCAAAGATATTTTATAAACTATATGACAAAGAAAAGCAGCAAATGTTCACAATCAGCAGATATTTAACATTTTTGCTTGAAATTGGCTGAATAGTAATTCAGCTAGTTGCCAATTAATTTTTTAACGACTAATTGTTGCAGCTCAAAATGCAACAATGTGAAAAATACTGTATTGCAAGTAAATGCCCATGCATTTAAAACACTGCTTAAATGGGTATCATCAGCAAAATAAAGTGTCAAAAGTGAAAGTAATGCATAAAACTGGTTTATTTTATGAATGGTTTAGGCTACATGCCAAAATGATGTCAAACTACTGGTTTAATCTTTAACAATGTGTTTTATTTTATGTGTTTTCAATGTAAAATCTTAATCTGAAAAGTAACATTTTGATATACTAGCTATTGATATAGCCCAGTGAAAAGTACTTTTCCCCTTAAAATGTAGTGAAGTAGAAGTATTAAGTAGCATGAAACGGAAATATCCGAGTAAAAGAGCAGCTCAAAATTACAAAACTCGCGTTATTTTTCATCACTGCAAATATCTAAATAAAAAATAATAGTGACTTCTTGCCCAACTGTATCAAGACTAAAAACTTCGATAATTTGTATTCATTTGAATGAATAATTGCCGCCCACAACTAACTTATTAATTTGTTCCCTCAAGCGAACTAATTCACGAATCATCAAAACCATGAAGGCTTCATGGTGAAACAACTGGTGCTAGAAGTTACTATTCATAACCAATTTTTGTTACAGGGTCCATGTCAACTGCACTCATTTAAAGCATCTTGATTGTTATATGGAGGCCACAAATATAACAGTCCTGTATGTAGTGGTAATGCACCTGAAAGCTGATTGTCAACCAGCATAAAAGAACATCAGAAGAAGAAGAAGACGAAGAAGACGAAGAAGAAGAAGAAGCCCTACATGCAGTATTTAGCTTTAAGCACAGAGAGGCGCTGTTGCACAACCTTGTCACTCAGCAGCTAATCTTTACTGACTGCCACAAACAATCTGGCCTCACTTGAAGGGAAATGACCAAAACAAATGTAACTTCAGGCCCATGCAAGTTAAGCTTGCTTCAAGAGAATGAATGGCTCCAATGGCTCCAGTGTAGAGGAGGACTCATGGTTAAGTGGGAGAAAGTTTCCTGTGCTTCATTTTACATCTACATCTGTTTGGTTAGTATCCTCTACCCTGGACTCTCTGCTGTTTTTTAATTCCTGTACTACCTAATCTTACTCATCATCCAACTACTGTATGCACGGTGCAGCTGATAGTTACCATGTTTACCCTGTCCTCCACCCCAGGTTCTTTTGCTGTCATGCACAGGAAGTTACTCTTCTGCTTTTGTGCTTCTGTGGTTTCTGTCTGTGTTACATAGTGTGTCACACTCCCCTCTATTTCCTCTCTAAGCTTAGCCCTCTGTACTAACATCACCAGAACAGTTCTCGGTCTAAGAGTGTAGAGAAAAGTGTTTTGAGATATAGGTGGGGCCTTTCTTAGAGCACACGAGGCTCAACACATTACCATATTCGCAAAGGTACTTGAGAGTAACAGGTTGATCAGAGGACAGACATGAGGACAAACTGCCGTCTTTCATCAACCACGCTGTCTTCAGGACCAAAGCGGAGGCAGTAGGCCAGCAGCTTGATGCTCTTCTCACTGAAGACCCAAAGACTTGGTTTGCTTTAGGCCTGCTTGTTTTAGTTATTTGGAGTGACTGCTTTTTGTCACTCTGTTTTGGAATACACTGATTTCTCAGGAGAAGGGGTTTGTGTAAGGCTTTCCCCCTGGATTACTTGTGGAGATTAGTGATGGGGAATGCGGCTGCGGGGGGCGTGGAGCAGCAAACGACTGAGGGCCAGAGAGAGGCCAGGAACTCAGTCGGGGCAGCTTCAGGAATGAGTGACCCCACACCAACCTTGCAGAAGAAGCAGCCGGCTCCCCCCAAACTGCCCATGCCCCCAGAGGAGGAGCTGGAGAAGCGTTTCAACGTGGTGCTGGTGAGTGGCGGCACAGGAGACAATAATGCACACACCATTAATGCACATGAAAAGACAGAGATAATGAACTTGGTGTATCACCAATGCCAGCCAGGTTTTGTGGTAGATGCTGGGAGGATTGTGCAGGAGGTGGAGAAATAACAAAACACATCCAATTTATCATCTGTAATTAAAAGTTTGTTATACATAGCAAGTGCTTAGAGTCCTCTTTTGAACATTTATGACTCATTGTTTCTGCCAGAAACCAATTTAAACTGAATACAGACTAAATATGTCTGGTTTTTCCCACTTGTAGTCTCACAATTTTTTACAACATCTAAATCTGGAAAACCACTTGTCTGGTATGTACAGAGAGAAAAACTTTGCAAAATATCAGCTTTCAACGTGCTCTAGCAAAGAGTCATTTGACCTGCCATTTTACCCAATCATATTTGCACTAAGGTTATCAATAACTGCTCTATTCACAGTAGGGATATCACTATAAACACATTGTTATCAACAAGTTGCCAGGTTCATCTCAGCACTTCTTTCCTTCACAGTTTGATTTGAAAATATCAGAGTAGGAACAGGGTGATTAGTGCATGCAGAGGCAGCTGGCCCCAAGGGGAAGTTGAGCAATACATTTACATGAGAGAGACCATAAGACCGGAAAGCAACGGTTTCACCATTCTTTCACCAGACTTTCAACAAGTTGGAAAACATAAAGCCTCACAACAAATACTTTGAGAATTTGAGACATCACAAAGCATCAAAACAAGTTGTTTACAATCAGGGATCCTGAGCCACTTAAATCTTTGATTATTTTTCCTACGTATCTGTAGTGGAAATAACAACAACAACTACAAATTCCACTCTAGTTATCTGGTTTTTATGTCTCATGTTAATGAGAATAAACAGCTCCAAAAGTGAACTAAAGAGCAATAAGACCATAAATGTGATGTCATGCTGACCCACTGCAGCCTGTAACATCAATACAGAGTCTGGCTCTGTGGACCTCAACACTTTATCTCAGGTTTTACACCTAAATGAGCTTCATTTACTCCATGGTTATAGCTTTGCTCTCTGCTCACTGGTGAAAAAAAAAGAATTGCCTTTCATTTTTTTTATGATGCTACATGAAAGTGTTACATCATGGATTATTAGAGGGGCAAAGTCTTCTCTTTTGTCTCTGGATGAACAGCATGAACTGTTCAGGTCAGCAGACAAACAGCAGCCATGTTTCCTCCTTGAAGTGTAGTAATTATCCACTTTACCAAGAAAGTTATTTGTTTGTATTTTGCTTTATGACATTTTTAAAAAAAAGGAGGGCAAATAGGTTTTTATTTGGTATTGTCAACATCCATCAAAATATTCATATGAAATTCTGTTATTTATCTTGAGATATAAAAAAAAACTTGATAGTTTATGAATTTCTAATGCCCTATTAACTAGAATAACGACCACTGCATTAATCATTAAGATTTGAAATAATAGATATGTATAGATTATAAACAAACACTTTCTTTATGTTAAAATTGCATGTGATGTTGACAAAGCTTCCTCTGAAAATGTAAATATCATATGTCATTACACCAGTAATGTGGCTTAACTATTTCATGAGATCTGTGTGACATATTCTGCTAAACAAAGGTGGAATATATGAAAGTATGACCTCACTTCCCCTTTTGGCAACATGCTTCCGATCTCAACTGAAGAAAGATGTCATTCCGTACTTTTCTTAAGTGAAGATTCAAGTGTTAAAATGTGCTTAACCAACCCTAGAAGGAAATGAGTGGACTTTCCTCTTCATTTCTACGTTATTCCTAAACTGAAGGAACACAGACTTATGCTCATGTAAGTCAATGCCAGTGAAAAATGTACACAAAGCGAGACAATTTATTCAGTAAGTGTTGTACCATGAAACCACATTGAGACCCTCCCTCGCCCCACCAAGGAAGACGCGCCAGCTCCTCAGCAGCAAACCAACAGGCCATTTCCGTTTCTGCTTCTCTTTTTTTTTTTTTTTTAAGGTGTGAAATAGAAAACTACAAACGTTGAAGTACACACATCAGAATTAAGGTCAACTCCTAAGATGAAATGATTAGCCTGGCCAGTAAATCATCACTGAGTGTGTGTTTCGGAGTGGATCAGGTGTATAGGCAGTGATAGGGCTGGTGTAGATTGCAGCGGTTCTGTGAATCTGGAGGATAACTGTATAAAAAAATGATGTTAGAGCAAGAATATAATTATTCACAAACAACTCTGTAATTAAAGCCTTTTATTTGAGAGTAAATCAGTCTCTCATAACATGAGTTATAGCCACTGGTGCACCAGTTCTTTTTTTCTCCACACAAACTCTCTTACTCGGCTCTGAATCATTCATAATACTTAATATGAATTCATTAAAGCATTCAGTTCTTAAGGCATTTGAAGGGGGGAATAACCTGACTTTCACGAATCAAACATTTTACTGTAGGTTGAGGGCGGCAACTCAAATTGAAACTGTTAATGTCAACTCCTCAGACGTTTGAGTCAATCTGCACAAAAGGGTGGAGAAGGTGGGGGGGGGGTTCTTCATCTGTATATCTCCAACTGAGATAATCTGTATTTTAATTTTGGTTATATTACGTAATAAAAAAGTGATAAAACTAACAAATAAATAAAAATGGTTGGTGGTGTATGTGCGTTATTTCATCGACATCTTTATCTTTATTAGAGGTTGCATTACCGTGAAATTTGACATTTTGTCATCACATGCACAGGCTCTAAGATCAGTTAAATAATTCTGTTTGTTATGACTACATCATATACATAACCAAAAATATTTAATTCCAAGGCACATGGTACCCACTGACAACCATCAATACAGACATGTAAACATTGAGTCATCTGTGCTTCCGGCAGGTAGTGAACACCCTTGTGCTTTGGTCTGAAAGTGCATTTGTGGTTTGGAACACGTTTACATTGTTGTATAAGCAGGAAAGATGAAGAAATTACCAGGTATAATATTTATGGGCTGAACAATAGTGGAGGTGTTAAGATGAGTTATTGTGTGATGAATACAAAATGTATGAGTCGTATTTCTGTGTATAAATTTACTTCCATTACTTCAGATTCTTCAAGTTGAAACCTGTCTCTTCTTCCTGTCTTTCAGAGCTACATGAACTTGCCTCCAGATAAACTGAAGCTATTGAGTCAATATGACAATGAAAAGAAGTGGGAATTAGTCTGTGATCAGGTGAGAGCATTTTTCTTTTATTAGTAATGAGCTGGTTTCACACGATTACACTTCATCAAACGTCATCAAACTGAGCAGGATCCTTGAAGTGGCACCTTCACTGGGACGGAGTTGACACAAAGTACATAAACACCCAAAGTGGATCTGTGGTATAGAGCACAGTGCAGTGAGAAAACCTTGCAGCGCAGTTTCTGTGGTGGCAAGTGATAGAGGCGTTGGCATGGCAACAGAGAGCGGGTTGTGTCTGTTCTATTTACGCACGCAATAATAACGTCAGATGCTATGCTCAAATGCCTCCACTCCAGTTATCAGTTTCAGATTGTTGATAAAATAAAATGAACGGTCAAAAGCTTTGATGTTTGACTGGGTTCTCTGTGAATATTTCTCCCCCAGGAGCGTTTCCAGGTGAAGAGTCCCCCATCCACTTACCTGGCCAAGATCAAGAGCTTTTACCAGGATCAAGGAGGAGTGTCTCGCAGGGTCAGTGTGAAGCATCATCCTCCTCTTCATATTTGACTCATTTTTAGTTTCCTATCTGCACAATGGTGTCCTGACGCTTAAATCTTCTGCTTCTTTAGCTGAAGAAAAGGATCCAAGATGCAACTCAGGTGCTTAAAGATCTGGAGATATCACTTCGCACAAATCACATTGGGTGAGCTTGTTGAGTAGGGATGGGTCCTATTTGATGTTTATTTGATTGTTTGATGTGCAATGTGATTTTATGTCATTGTTTTACCCTTTAACATATTTTATTGCTTTTCTAAAAATATTTTTTAGTATTTTTAGAATTTTAATCTTAACATATTTTATACATTTTTAACATATTTGACTTTTTACATTTTTTTGAATCATTATTTAAAGCAGCATATTGCATGTGCATTAATAACTCCACAGGGCACCTTAAAATAGGTGCTAAAGAAATTAAGTTTTCAATTATTGTCAGTGTTATTATGATTAGTGGTCAGTTTTAGTTCATTGAGCATTAAAGGATTAAAGGATAATTGTAAAAGCTAAAATGTAATGCAACAGTAGCACACAAAGGGAAGAGTCATAGTCAGCAAACTGGCTCAGTAATAGCATTTATACAGCAATGATGATCAAAAGTTTGCTAACATAAACTACTGGTCAAACCAGACCAACTAAAGTTGAAAGTGAAAAACTGCTGAGTGTATTGAATTGAGCATGAGTTTGTTTTATTGATTGATTAACGTTTAATTTGTAAGAGCAAGATGGTGTTATTTCTTTTTTCAAGAGTTTACATAGTGTTGCTTTAAGTCCAATCTCATCACAGAGTCTGTGATGTGTAATTCAAAACATATTCCTCTATCAGTGTTTAATGTCTCATGCTTTGTTTTTGTAGATGGGCCCAAGAGTTTCTCAATGAGCAAAACAATGGTTTGGATGTTCTGGTGGAATACCTGTCCCATGCGCAAAGTGACGCCTCGTGAGTACCAGCAGGGAGTGAAAACAACCACAGAATCTGATGCTGTTTTATGATTAAAATTATTTTTCACTGTGCATGTTTATTTTGTATTTCTTATTTTCCTTTTTAGGTTTGATGTGGAGAGCGTTGAAAATGGTGGCACCCTGTCAGACAGAGGAAAGCCAGCAGAGAGGTCGATGGAGGATTTGACCAAGAGCTCCAGCAGCTCTCACTCACATGGGATGACCAGAGCTGCCCGTGCACTGACTGTCAGGTAAGAAGCTCTGGACAAGCAAGACTTTTTTTTTAGCATCTGTTAGAAGTGACTGTACATAAAGTGCACCCCCACCCCCTATTAAAGAGGAACATTCAGCTCACACTGTCAGAAAATAGAGTCACGCAAGGGAGAAGTGGTGTGATGGTGCCACGTTGTAGTGCTACAGAGGTGACTAGCTTTATACCTTTCTCAAATGAGCTGAACCTTGAAAATTCCCTGTTTATTTTGCATATTTAGGTACAAATCCACAAATTCTTCATTAATACAAGCGCTGTAATAAATAGTGAGAGCCCTGATTGATTAACCAACTGCAAATATTTGTAAAATTGAAGCAGTACAGCAGGCTAAATACCTTTTCAACTTAATCAATATGTATTATTTATTGTATACCACTCTGTTTCTTATCTTAGACAGCAGCTCCTCTTCAAAATGAGACATCCCAACCACTATGAATACCTCAATTTCTCACACACTCCTTCATTCACATCTTAAGCTCATTTGTTGAGCATTTCATTCTTTATTTTCCTTCCACCCGATGACACATTTCAAATGTCAGACAGACATGGTGGATGTCAAAAATAGTGCCGGAAGCCGTGTTATAATTAGCTAGATGCACTCAGAACTATTTTACAGTTATCTTGATATTTGTGGCCCTCAACTTCAAAGCAGTTGCACATACAAGAACTACTCTTTGAGTATTCATTCATGTGTCCATACGCCTTCTCTACAGAATAAGCTCCACTCTGGGGAACAAGATGCACAAAAAGTCCCATTCATCCAACCAGAGAGATGATGTACACGTGTGCATAATGTGCTTGCGAGCCATCATGAACTACCAGGTAGAGTCTTAACATCCTCTGCTTCTCTTACCATGCAAAAGTTTTTCTTCAAGCAAGTTTGTTTGTTTTTTTGCCAGTGGGTTGATATAATTCCACTCCTGTTTCACTAGTCTCTGCTGGATGAAAGAAAAACACAAACTTGAACTTAAATTTTTAGCAGGGTAGTTTTTTTTTCTCAAACTAAAGACAAACACTTTTCCTGCATCAGCTCTCTGGGGGGGGCCCAGCTGTTTATATTTTCCTTCTTCTTTCAGTCTGGTTTTAACCAGGTGATGACTCACCCGCGCTGTGTGAACGAGATCACCCTCAGTCTCAACAGCAGGAATCCCAGGTGAGCGCTTTTGTGTGTGAGACAAAGTGTGTGTTGTCTGTTTGCCTGCATCCATATCTATCATTACCGCTCTCCTCTGCTGCATCAGGACCAAAGCCCTCGTGCTGGAGTTGCTGGCTGCCGTGTGTCTCGTCAGGGGAGGGCATGATATCATTCTCTCTGCTTTTGACAACTTCAAGGAGGTGAGCTGAGTTTTTCTTAACGATTTCACCGTAATGTGTTGGCCTCATTTGACTTTGACTGCTGTTCATTCAGTCATACCATTGTTTCAGACATCCCCTCTTTCATTAGTCATCCTCTGACTGGCAAAATCCACCTGTCACATGCGCTGTGGTCATAATTTTAGCTCATGTCGCAACCATGCATGTGTGTGTTGTTCTAAATGCAAGTGTAGTGCAGAGCTAAGAGTATAACTGTTTACTCTACCACGTATTAGAGATACAGTTATGCCCAAACCCTCCACCCCCCCAACGCCCCCATGTGGTCAACAATTAAAATACATATTCAGATAAGTTGATGTTTTTTCTCAGGTGAGCAAAGAAAGGAACCGCTTTGAAAAGCTGATGGAGTACTTCATCAATGATGACAGCAACATTGACTTCATGGTACGTCCTCAAATGTATTACCTACACACTGGTTGAATGTTAAGTTATAGACGTGCTTGAGCTTTAACTGTCATTGTGTCCGTTTCAAGGTGGCTTGCATGCAGTTCATAAACATTGTGGTCCATTCAGTGGAGAACATGAACTTCCGTGTCCACCTGCAGTACGAGTTCACTCACCTTGGATTAGACAAGTATCTAGAGGTGAGTATATGTACATAGGAAGTCAGTGGTTTACAAATATCTTGAGTATATCTTCTACTGTATAAATCTATGTTTGAAGGTGAACCAGAATCAGTCTGTATCCCATTTTAGAACATTTTTACAACCATATTCTGTCTGTGTATAATAACAGATGTAGTATTAGGTGCTTATAGTTTTTAACTGTCTGTTCTTCATCAGATTCAGGAGCTCTCAGTTGCAGAATAATTACCGTCATCTTGCTACAAATATCATATTATTCTCCATCATCTGAGTGTATTCCCATAATGCATAATTTCTGTATGTGTTTTGTGTGTTAGGGTCTGAAGCAAACAGAGAGTGAGAAGCTGCAGGTCCAGATCCAGGCCTACCTGGACAACGTGTTAGACGTGGGAGCTCTGCTGGAGGACGCTGAGAACAGAGGAGGGGTGCTGGAGCATGTGGACGAACTGCAGGAACACAATGTACAGGTCAGCTACACAATAAATAAAAAAAAAAAAAAAAAAAAAAGGAATCTCAATGAGCAAAAAAAAAGAAAAAGAAAAGAGACTTTGGTGTTGTGATGTTAAAGCAGTGTTGTCTGTGTGTCGTGTTGCAGCTGAGTGTCCGGCTTCAGGAAATTGAGAATCAGACGACAGGGCGGATATCAGAACTCGAGACTCACCTCATGCAGGCGACCAAGGAGACCGAGCTGCTCAAAGTGAGTGCTGCTCCGTGACATGTACAATGTTTAACATGATTAATCAGCCAAGGAAGGTGGGCCATCTGCCATAATGAGGTGAAAGAGAGTGGCAGTTCACTTTAATTTAATAATCATCTTCACTATTGGCGGCGTGACTCTGTGGATGGTGGTATCAGTCTGTTGGTCTGTACGGTCAGTCCACCCACCACTTTGGCCCAGACTGAAATATCTCCACAGATATTTGATGGATTGATATGAAATGCTGAGCAGACATCCGTGGCTCCAAGAGGGTGAATCCTAATGACTTTGGTGATTTTCCTCCTGCACTACTTTTTTATTTTTTTTTTTAGAGTGAAATGTTTCGACAAGTATTGGCTGGTTTGCTGTGAAATTTTGTACACATTCATGTTCCCTTCAGGACGAATTGTATAAACTTTAAAGCCTGACGACAGAATGTGGGTTATATGCTCTTTGCGAATTTACTGTAAGTTGTGTGTCTATATTCATGTTTTTATCTTATAGGAAAGCCTACGAGAGTCCTGTTCCCAGGTCAGTTCTTTGCAGCAGAGAGAAAGAGAGCGTGAGCTGGACAGGGAGAGGGAGAAGGACAGGGAGCGCCTCAGCACTTCAGCCGTGCAGACCCCCTCAGAGCTGGAGGAGAAGATCCAGGAGCTGCAGGACAAGGGGCTGATCCGACTGGGGCGAAGCGCCTCAGGAGGTCTGGACATCCAGGTTGTGCCTGTCACAGTGGTCGAGTACGTCCAAGCCCCGGCCCCGGCCCCGGCCCCGGCCCCGGCCACTCAGCCAAGCACAGCCTCCCCAGAGTCCAGCCCCCCTGGTTCTGTCCCTCCTCCTCCCCCTCCTCCTCCTCCCCCTCGTGACCAGGCCTTCAGCAGAGCTCATCGTATCGGTCAGAACAGGAAGGTGATGATCTACCGCTTCGTTACCAAGGCCTCTGTGGAGGAGAGGATTACTCAGGTAAACAGGACGAGTTCAATACACAAAATCAGTGATTCAACACTTGTAACG